GGGCAGCGGCCACTTCCATCTCTGACGCACGATGAGACCACCAAGATTCGCGGTCTCTCTTCAGGCTAGCACGGAGTTTTGCACGGAGCTCTTTGCGAGTTTCATTGTGTTCGCTTCCAGCCGAGATATGCCGGCGAGCGTCGATAATTTCCAGAGACCAAGAAGAGACCCAATGTCCATGTGGGCTTTTAGACATACCACATGAGGATTTGCCCGCTGCTAGTAAGGTCTGGCGAACATGTGACCAGTGACCATCAATTGTCTCCAGTGAGCGAGTACTCAACTCGCATGTCAGCGTACTTTGATACGCATTCAGAACAGCTGGCTTTGTCAGTTGGCTGGTGTCAATGCGCTCACAGCGTCGTCGTGGTCGTCCTCCAAAGCGCATCCGCATGTCAGCACATACAAGTGCATGATCAGTGTCCACACATGTGCTCCAAATCGAGCGACAATTCTGGATGCAGCCTCTCCAGCGGTAACTAATAGCAATGAGATCGATATGCGTCCAAGGCTGGTGGGCGCCAAGTCACCCTCCGGCGGGTGCTGTGTCGGAAATTAGTGCTCGCAAGAAATAAACGAGCATCTTCACACAAATGAAGTAACCGCTCACCGTTATCATTACGGGAGCCTACACCGTGCTGACCGCCCAGATGCATTTCATCAGTGGACAACTTTCCAACTTGTGCGTTCATATCCCCCGCCAGAACAACAGTGTCCGTGCTTCTTCTGTGACGAAGGAGCTGAGTCAGTTGGCGGTAGAAGTCGTTCTTTACCGAATCATCGCTACAGTTTGTGGGCGCGTAGGCAGCGATGATGAATAGACATCTATTAGTCCCGCGCGACTTCGAAGCTTTAGAGGAGCCAGCCAATCGGACCGCACACATCCGGCTACTGATTGGAATCCAATCAACCAGAGCAGCTTCAGCCCGGGGACTCAGAGCAATGCCAACACCAGCTTGGCCGGTGCTCGAAGCTGCATAGTCACCGGATAGGCGCAATGAGAAAATACTGTTTGCGTCACCTGAAGGGGATCGCAGAGTGAGCACAGAGCTCGAGTCTTGCAGGCGGGTCTCTGATAAGCAGCAGATATCGATCGAGAGGGTCTCCAATGTTCGGGCAAGTGCTGCCTGTTGACCGATCTGTAGTAGTGTGCGTACATTAAGGCATGCCAATCTGAAGGAAAATCGAGGGCTCCAAATGGAAGCCGATGAACTGGAATGGACCGCTTGGTTGGACATGGGCTTGTCGACAGGAGAGGAGTGACGCTTCGCGTTTACATGTGAGTTGAAACTAGAAGATAAATGCCTAGCAAAGCATGTTGGGGGAGGGCCAAGAATCGGGGGTTGAAAACTGGGGGGATATAAGTGAAGTTGGAAGGGGACGGTAAGAGTGAAAAAGCGTAAGATGGGGAATAAGAAGACGGGAAGACTTGAGCAGTAGCATCCAAACCCCTATCCACCCCGCTCGATGCAGCAGATAGGGCACCGTTGATTATCCTCTGCGGTGGCCAGAGCATCAGCAATTTGTTTGAAGTGTGATTCATTGTATTGCGTGGGCAGGATACTGTCAGGTTGCCCAGGCCTAGACAGGAGAACGATTAGGGTTCTCAACCAAAGCCTTTGGTTCAAAAACCTGACCGCAAGGCAGCGGGTTTGGCGTTGGACTACAAGGAGTACGTTTTAAGGAATAAGGTGCCACCCTCATTCCAACCCCCAACCTGGAGGACCAGGAGGCTGAGTTTGTCTGACCTCTAACCATTGACCAATCTGATATGAGTGACTCTGAAGGTGCAAAAGCACCACCCAGCATAGCTCAATGGATCGCTGAGGCACACAAACCATCGCACCACGGTAAAGTCCAGCCTCATTGCGATGGTATACAACCACGCCCTGGACGAAAACCGGCCTGCTCTTCCCTAATCCGAGATTCCCGTTCTGCAGTGAGGCGACGGACGATAATCGAGGCCAGTAATTTTGTCACAACTGGCGTTAGGCTAATACCCCTGTGGTTCGCACAGTCTGTGCGACTGCCCTTCTTGTATATTGCCACTATAATCGATTCGCTCCAATTATCCGGCATATTCTCTTCGTTCCAGATACGTTTGAATAGGGAGGTCAGTGTTTTGCAGAGGACCTCACCTCCATCCTTAAATAGTGCAGGTGGGAGGAAATCCGGGCCAGCGGCACGAAAACGATGGAGGGCAGTGATCGCGTTTCGGACCTCGGCCTCCGACGGAGGCTCTAAACTAACTGTCAATGGCTCGTCCTGCATCACCTGAGTAGGAAGAGGTCCGGGAGCAGAGGGCCAGCTGAACTGATGTTCAAAGTATTCAGCTCAACCAGCCACATAGCGCTCCTTATTGTGTATCAGCGCACCCGCGCTGTCTCTGATTGTCTCACTGACGCCTGGTTTTATAGGACCAGTGGTGCGGATTAGCTGGAAAAGCTTCCGGTAATTGCCTACTGCTCCTGCCTCCTCCATTTCTTGAGCCCGACTGGTCCACGAGGCTTCATTGTCAGCACGTAGGCTCCGCTTTAGTTCACGCCTAATAGCCCGTCTGGTTACATTGTGTTCAGAACCAGCCGGGAGGTGTCTTCTAGCTTCCAACAGGTTCACCGACCTCTCGGATATCCCGGCTAGGTTGCATAGTCCTCGCGGTCATCCAACTAAGTTATATAAGCCGCGTTCTGACCAGATCAGGGCGGAAAATCGGTTATCGCGTAGAGTTATCGAGCCCGCTTCCAGAAAGTGTAGTCAGTGAACCTACGGCTAACGGTTTCGAACGTCAGTTAGACGCTCTTGGGTGGCAACACAAAACCTTTCCCTTCTCCTGACCATATCCATCTTCAAACTGTTATTTCTGATTCTGTCATTCCCTTCACTCTTTGGTGTTATCCTTCATTTAAATGACTTTCATTCCCCTTTAGCTTCTATTTACTTTCTACTATTATTCTTACTACACGTAACCTACACAGCGCGGACTGCTAGTGCAGGGAACGTGGGCAGTAATTGGTTGATCAGGGTGTTTAGTTTTAGATCTATCAAGAACTAGCACCTTATCATTCCCTGACTCAACGATTTGCTCAAGGAGGAACACTCAAGGGATGTTCCTATCGTTCCAGTCCATCTGAATCTACTCACTGGGATATTAGACTACACGCTCTGGCGATTGTCAATAATTACGGGAAAAGATCCAAGCAATACATATCCAAGCCTACTACGACAATGGCTTCTACAGTGAAACTTTCAATCAAGGTAGAAGAAAGCGTGTTCCAACTACGGACTACACAACTCACAAAGAATTTGGCCCTAATTTCTATCACGAACCCCGCAGGTGGGCGGAGGCAGCTGGGAGGTATGAGACCCCTGAGACTTATGAACACTTTTATCTGGCCACTTTCCATACTGCCCCGTTCCATGGGAAACAATCATAGACTCTTAAGGTATCCATCGCACACTTCGCACGCTGGCTCTTAATCATCCTAGTTGCAAATTTTTGGACGTCTATGTAAACGACATACTTCCAGAGATACGTTGCCCAAACCTGCACACGATATGTGATGTACGCGTGGGTCGCAGCTTTTTGTTTACGCAAACGGTCTTTACCGGTGTCTCGAAGGGTCCGGTCCTTGGACACATGCCGTAATTTAGCTATGGAAACAACTTCCCTAGGCAGCTTGGGGTATCATCGCTACTATTTGCTGATGATCTAGAGCTGTGTAATGTCATTAACGTTCCTGTGGATTCTGAGGTTATTTAACATACCCTGGATAGGTTCTGGGACAGGTCTACTTTGCGTTGCAGCCTACTAAGTAAGGTAAGTACTCGGCTCTGCCTAAAGGAGTGTTGTGGTCAATACGCCGACATCTTTGTGTAGCTGTTCTCAGATTTCGTTTGGCCGTCTGGGTTATTGCGTCCAAGTGTGCCCGCTCTGTCTTCTTCAGGACAAAATAGAGCTCAAGAGGGCTTTGCCAGTGGATACTAAATTGGTCGAGGGGATACTGATGAGTCGTACCCCGTGCGTCTACTTAGCTTAGGTATGTACACAATGTACCACCGACGGCTTTGAAGATTTGGGTGGCAACAAGAATCCTTTCCTTTTCCCAGTCCCGCTTGAGCTTGAACTTCTTCTCTTACTTACTTCACGTAACTGGCATAGCAGGGACAGCTAATGTAAGGAACGTGGGCATTAAATTGGTGGACCAGGGTTTTCGTTTAGATCCATCAAGAAGTCAGAGCACCACTATCAACTCCTGGATCAACGACCCGCTCAAGAAGGAACACTTAGGGGATTCACCCTATGGTTCCAGTCCCACCCGAACTGGGACTAACCGTATGATGCGGTACAATAGCGGAGGTGTTTTACCATCTCTAGCTGACATGTATAAGGATGATGATGATGATGTATATTAACTGAGAAGCTTGGACTGGACTTGAGTTGGCTATTTATCCCGGCTAGGTTGCCCTGTGTTCGCGGTCACAACACGAAGCTACACAGTCCGAGTTAAGACCGGACCAGAACGCAAACAAGGTTATCAAGCACTGGAACTCGCCTCCATAAAGGCAGTCGATTTACCTAAGGGCTAAGTGTGCTGAGGGTTAGTTTGATACTCTTTGGCAGCACGAAACCATTCCCCTCTCACGACAATTTCCATCATTTTAATTTGATCTCATAGCTCGTGTTTCTCCTTACTCGTTGGTATTATACTTCAGTTAAACGACTCTCCATCCATTCTAAGTTGTATTTTCGTTATAGCTTTCTTACTTCACGCGACCGACAAAGCTGCGACTGCTAGTGCAGGACAGGTGTGCAGTATCTGGCTGACCGGGGTGGTTCGGGTACTTCGAGTGCGATCCATCATGACATCGGAACACATCAGTTCCTGGATCAGCGATCTACTCAAGAAGGAATACTCAAGGGATTTTCCTACCGACACACCTTAAGTTGTCTCAAAAGCAAACGGAAAACAATACCAAAGACCGTGTATTGGAAGAGGGTTTCAGTTCTTTACATTGGCATTAGGTCCACGCCTGCGACCCCCAACTTGCTGCACCACAGCAACAAACCGCTTATTATACTGCATGCGTCGTTTCGCCCGGCCTCGCGGCTTTTTGCGCTTCTCCTGCTTTTCTACCTTTGGAGTCTGACCGCGCACTTTACCGGCGCGAGCAAGAGACCCATGAACCTTGCCTAAGAGAAATTAACAGCATGACAGGACCAACTTACCACCAAGTATGGGGACGATTACATCCACACTGGAGTCCGGAGCAAGGCTATCAAGACGTTCAGCGTCAGTAATCAAGGAAGAGCCGTAGTACAGTTGAATATTGTCCAGTGGTAATCTATCAACATTCGCAAGATGGATCTTTAAGTGTGCAACCGTCGGACAGCTGACGGTGTCGATAGACCTGGTTTCAAAAGATTTCACGAACAGACGCATGTCGTTTCAGAGCAGTGGCCACTGAGAATGTTGGCACCGTAGTATTCTCCTACGGCGGGCTTTTACGTCCGGGTTGTTGTCCGTCTATACAGCTGACTTCTGTTTTAGGTTGTTCAGGTTGCAAGGACAAGACTGTCCTCCACTTAACAAGCGTTCCGGTAAGCAAACATGGGCTCCCGATACTCCGACATCTTGGTATAGACGTTGTTAGGGTGTTTGAATATGAATGTAAATATTGTGCATAATGTAATTCCGATAGTCAACAGAAGGTAATGCTAAACGGTTATTTTATGAATCGGTGAATAATTAAAAATATGATAGAAAGGCTTACAGAAAGGAGTTACTTCGCGCTCTAAAGCTTTGCAGTGCACCATCTGCGATGGGTGGACACACATAGCTTGCTGTGGAGTCGGCCATGAATTGTACGAATTTCTCCTGCGATCCAACGTTCCGGGCTTAGGCTTCTTTTGCGATCTGTGCCGTGTTACGATAAGCAACAGACGATGCCTTGATGGACTGCCTGCGCTCAGTCCGCTCACCTCTCCTGCTCAAGCCGAGATGAACATCGCTGCTGTCCCACTACCAACTCCTTGCCTTATCACATGCGATTCTAGCGCAGCTACCCCAACGAGTAAGCGTAGTCGAGCACCTTCCACCACATCTACAGAGACGCCAGCGGTTGTTGACCAGAGCGAAGAGCCTAAGCTGAAGACGTACGCAGAGGTAGTAAAGGAAAACGTTCGAAATGTTGAACGCAAAAGCAAGGCAGGAGTAAGGCTAAAATCCAAGTCGTCATCATCTCAGTCGCAGCTGAATTTGGTTCTGGATAGAGTCAGTCAACTGGAGAAACTGCTTAAGGACGGCCCCGCTGTTCTGAAGCCGAAGATCCATGAGAATGCCACATCGCCATCCCGCGACCGCTACCTTATCATTGTGAATGCAGCCGAGTCCACCAAGGCTACCCCAGCTGAAAGGATTGTAGATGATCAGGAGTTCCTACAACGGATGATCTCTTTACTATTCGATGAAGGAGAGCAAGGAATCAACACTGTTTCAGCCTTCCGCCTCGGTAAGAAACAGGAGGACTCCTCACAGGTTCGTCCACTTAAAATTGTATGTCAAATTGATGACGAGGTCCGTCGCATTCTTCGACGATCTCCGCGACTTAAAGGTGAATCATTGTATGTGTTGCGAGATCTTTCCCCTGAGGATCGAGTGAGAATGAAACAAGCGGTTGACGAACTCAGATCCCGTCGAGACAACGGTGAGACAGATTTACATATTGTGGATTTTCGCGTAGTCCGAAAAGCTACCAAAATTCGCTGGAAACCACTTCTTGTCATACCCAGGCGTTAGAGGTGAAGAACGGATTACGCGTAATTTCCGCTAATGTGCGCAGTATTCGAAACAAACTCGATGAAATTCAATCTTTTACCTCAGCGAATCATCCTGACATTATGGCTTTCACCGAGACCTGGTTGTCCGCGGATATCCTGGACTCCGTAGTGCAGATCCCCGGTTATCATCTCTGCCGAGCTGACCGCAATGGAGGAAGATCTGGTGGCGGTGTGATCCTGTACTGGACTGCAGACCTCAAGGCTCATCTAGTTGAAGCTACTTGTGATGGTAATGGTGGTTTCGAAGCCCTTTTGTGCCGGGTTCATGATGGATGCAGATCCCTGATAGTCGGGGTTGTCTACAGAGCTCCACTGGGTTCCGGAGCTCGGCTGCTGGATTCAATTAAAAAGCATGGTGGGGGAAAGGCCTGTGTACTATTGAGTGACTTCAATGCCCCAAGTGTCGACTGGGATTTGCTGCACTGTGCTACTTCTTCAGACGTTTTCGCTGCGGACTTTTTGGAAACCGTTCTCGAGTGTAACCTACTTCAACATGTTACTGTGCCTACCCGTACACTTGTTGGACAAACCCCCATATTCTCGATCTTGTGCTTTCCCCGGCGCAATCAGATGTCGCAGAGGTTACCACTCTTCCGCCTCTTGGTAATAGTGATCACTGTACGATCTCATTCCTCTGGACTCGACGCCTCACTCTTCACAACCAAAGAAGTTTCCGCGGAAATTTCTGGCGTGCCGATCCAATCCGCCTGCAAGTGGCCGCTAGCGGAATGGACTGGAATATCCCTCTATCCTCCGACCCAGATGAGGAATGGAAACTTTTGTACTCCAAAATGATTTCTCTTGTTGAGCAGGTTGTTCCTGTTTGCAAAAGACGAACGTTTACCAGAGACCCTCCATGGATAGACCGAGAATTGAGGTGTTTGATGTCCAAAAGACGTAAATTATGGGACCGAGCAAAACTCACTCACTGCCTGCTTGACTATTCGGAGTACAAATTGATCAGAAACGACTGCATCACTATAAAACTTCAGAAACGGCATCAGTATGAACGCAGTTTGGCAGCGCAATGCAGGACGACACCGAAGGCACTCTATTTTTATTTGAAAAGATGTACAAAAGCTGGCAGTGGCATTCCTGCCCTGTTTTCTGTAGAGCAGGGCGGTTTACTTGACGACGACGCGACGAAAGCCAGTTTATTGGCCCTGCAATACTTATCTGTTTACTCGATAGAGACGCCGTTACCCGATGACACTGCGCCAATCCACCCCTCTGCGTTGCAGCACATAGAAATGAGTGTGGCTGACGTGGCCAAAGGCCTTCGTGAATTAGTTTCGAACTCCTCGCCGGGTCCTGATGGACTGCACCAGCTGTTCCTCAAGACCGTGGCGGACTATATTGCTGTTCGCGTCTGTCAGATGTTTCGCCACTCTCTGGAATCTGGACGACTCCCGGTTGCTTGGAAATTGGGGACCGTAACACCTATATACAAGGGAGGGGATCGTCAAGATCCTGCAAACTATCGACCTATCTGCCTAACGTCTGTGTTGTGCAAGTTAATGGAAAGGATTCTCAAGCGCGCCCTGCAGCTTCACTTCGAGAATCTTAACATCATCTCCTGTGCCCAGCATGGCTTTCGGCGGGCACGCTCAGGTACCTCGAACTTGCTTGTTGCTAGGGAAAACTGGGCGAGGTCGTTAGACGCTGGGAAACGATTGGATATGGTTTTCGTAGACTTTAGCAAGGCGTTTGACAAGGTCCCCTATGAAAGTCTCCTTTTAAACTCCGAGGTACTGGTGTCTTTGGGAATATCCTTTCCTGGATGGCTGATTTTTTGAATGGCCGGACGATGCGAGTCAAGGTGAATGAAGCCTACTCCACTCCTTTGCTGATGACTACCGTTGTTCCGCAAGGGTCAGTACTTGGTCCAGAACTGTTCAAGATAATCATCAATGATCTCCCATCGGAGCTTCAGATGGATTGCCTGGTTTACGCCGATGATATGAAGCTGTGGATGGAGGTAACCTGTCTTGAGGATGCTGACAGATTGCCGACATCATTGGACATTCTACACGACTGGTCAGCCAACTGGCAATTGCCCATAAATTGTGAAAATGCTCAGTTCTCTCCATAGGCGCCCTCGAACCGTTCGGGATATACCATATTGGTGGGGTGTTACTCAGAACCACCATTCTTGAAAAAGATCTCGGTGTGCTTGTCCCATGATTTACGGACTACAGAAGACGCACTACGGAGGGTTGCCGCTGCCACCAGGATGTCCCATGCCATACGGAGAGCCTTCTCGAGACTGACTCCGGAAATCTTCAGAATTCTGTTTACTTCCCATGCGCGCCCGATCCTTGAATACGGACTACCCGCCATCGGTGCTCTTACCAGGTTCGAGTGTAACATGATCGAGAAGGTACAGCGGCGTGCCTCGAAATCCATACTGGAGTTAAGGGCCTTGCCTTACCCTCATCGACTACAGCGGATGCACCTGTTCTCCCTGGAATATCGCCGATGTAGAGGTGATCTAATTTTTACTAGGCGAATTCTGATGGGGGAAATGGGGTCGGAGCTACAAGCGTTCTTTCAAGTCAACACTATTAGTTCCACTCGGGGGCACAACTGGAAACTATGTAAACCCAGAAGACTCACAGTTCACTCCACTCTCGCTCTATCAACCCGCATTGTCAACGACTGGAATGCTTGCCGAAACGTGTGGTCGACGCGCAGTCGGAGGAATGTTTCAAGCGATTTTTGGATTCTCACTTGATGAGTAAGCTGGGACCCTGCTTCTTCCAATTTAACTGTTACGGCCCCTTGAGGAATACCGTCTCGTAGCGACTCACGGCTTCCACGCAATGATCGGGAAATGAAGGAGCTGGCAAAGGACTTTCCTTCTGCTCTCTACAATCCAATGATTCAATGAGATTGGAGAAATATACAGCTGAACGTGTACTTTTTATAAGATGCGAACTACTGTACTGAAGTCAGTTCAGTTCAGTTCAGATGGGGACTGGAACGATAGAAGAATCCCGTGAGTGTTCCATCTTGAGTGGATTGTTGAGCCAGGAATTGATGAAGTGCTCAGTTATTGATGGATCTAAAACGGAACACCCGTATCGCACCCTGGCCAACCAGTTAATGCCCACGTTTTCTGCCCTAGCAGTCCCTGCTGTGGCAGTCACGTGAAGTAAGCAAAGGGTAGGAAGAGAAATCGAAGGTACAGAATAAGGAAGTGCTCTTGAATAAGAAAATAATACCAATGCGTGAAGAAAAGTAGAAAAAAGAAAATCGAAGTACGAAGATGCGAGTTACTCAGAAAAGGGAAAGGTTTATTGTTGCCACCCAGGAGCGTCAAGTTGCCGCTCAAACGCCTTAACTGTAGATTCCCTGATAACACTTTTCGGAAGCATGTTCCAGCGGTCGATAACTGGGCATGACTGCCGGACCTCCGCCCTAATCCGATCGGACCGAGGGTTGTCCGGCTTCAAGGAATGACTGCGTAGAGCAGACAATCTAGCGGGATTAAATAACCAAGGTAAACCTGGACCAATCTTCTCAGTTAAGATACGGTAGGTTAAGATTAGGTCTCCTCTAAGCTTTCGGTAGTGCATTGAATGCATTCGCAAACTAAGTACA